AACACATACACACACCCACAGCTTCTTTTACGGTGTTTAAATTTCCCTCTCCCCCTTTTTGTTTAGATTGGTAGTCAACTGTTGAAATCAATGATCCAGCGTTTAGACAATATAATCCCTGATATCAATGCTTCAATATCTTCGTCTAGTGCATCATTAATATCTTCAGCATCAGGTTCTTCATCGTCTTCGTCTTTATCCGCCTTGAATACAAATACACATGCACAACAAATTTCATCGTTAATTGCTTCTTCACTTGAAACCAAGCAAAAGTTAATCCACTTTCGACGTATATCTGCTATTACACTGTGTAAACGTGTCTTTTGTCGTCATCATACTGATCGTGAATATGATGAATTATTCCGTTTAGATCCGTGTCTATTTGTCCAATTCTGTTTATGCCTTATTCAACAATTAATGAATTATGAGAAAGAAAATTCTATTTGGTTTAATGATTTCCACCCTTCTATGAATACTATTCATCATGAAGTCGTTAATGGTGATGATGATGATGATGATGATGATGATCAGATTGATGACAATTCACCTTATCGTGAGGATAATACTAGACAAAAATCAAAAGACCGCCATAACCAACAACAACAACAACACCAACGAAAACGTCAGTTAAAACAACTTCAAACAAATCGTGATCAATTGGAACATTTAATCACTCAGATATTACGTACATTTAAACATTTTCCTATTGATGTGATATTATATTTTCCAACAAAGGATAAACTTCCACCAAATAGTTGGTTATCTAAAATTTTTATTGAAATTGATTATTGTTTAAATCATGCATTTCAACATAATAATAATAATAATAGCAGTAATTCAACATGTAACGCTACCATTGAAACATTGAACACACCAAATCAACTAATCAATAAAGTCATTGAAAAGCGTATTGAAGCCTTAACATTATATACACAAAAAATTTCTGAATATATTGTTAAAATATGTTCAAATTTTTGTAAAAATTTACAAATATCAAGTAAAGATTCATTACCACACAATACTACTACTACTAATGATGATGATAATTTGAATTCTGTGAGTAGTTGTAATAGTAGTTGGATGTTTATAACCACCCTATTGCAAATTTTACATTTCCCTATGAATGAACCCTTATCCCCACAATGGAAATCCAGCGTGAACTGTCTTACTGAACCAGTGTTGTGTCCACCATCTGTAAAATTTATTCATACTCTGTTCGAATTAATGAAATGTGAACAGACGGAAGTAGCATTTACCGCAATTCGATGTATTGCAGAGCTGAATTACACCTTAGTGGGATATTATCGTAAACCATTAGTGAAGTGTATTTATCCAGCTGAAGTATGTAAAGAAAAATCAACTGGAGAGGATCATCATGGAGGAGAAAGTTGTCTACCGAATATTATTGCTGGTCCACGTCCTGATAATAAATTTCTTCTATTTAATGAAAGTGCTAAAGTATTACAGTCGAATGATGCCTATAGAAAACATCATCATATTGGATCATTACATTGTGGTTTTGTGTAAGTCTTAAATTTTGTGTCATTTATTTTATTTTATTGATTTATTTTTTTGATGAATTTATTTGTATCCTTTGTGAAGTTTTTTAGTAGCCGTGGTGTTCACAGAGTGGGACTAAACGCTTTACTGCCTCTCCCCGCTCACCCCCCCCCCCAAACCCACCAACCTTACTAGCGGATAAGCGAGGTTTAGGATTGAGTTGGCTGGTAATCAAACTCTCACCACGTGAGCAGTGGGGTTGGTAAGCATTTTATCCTTGAATCACGGGCACACAAAAGTTTGGGGGGAGTGTTTTATGTCTGTTTCGCCCTAGTCTAACCGTTTTCATCATTGCTGATCCATGATCATCAGGTACGACGCCAGTCCGTTAAAGAGTCCAGCTACTCAGTCTGTAGCTAATTATTAATTTCCATCATTCAGGACAGTTTTGCGGTTACATGCTATGGTATTTCCTCGCAGCGAATAATATCTATTGAAATTTACTCAATATTGAAGTGCAGTGGTATAATAGGGTGAGCAATATTGAGGTTAGGCACCGGTCGAGTGCTAGGTAGGTGGGAGTGGAAATCAGTCAACAAGGCTGTGTAGCTACATCGACTGAGAGATGGTTAGGACATGTGATACGTATGCCTAGTCATCACCATCCTCGACGAGCAATGTTAGCTGACACAGGGTCAGGCTGGAAAATAGGTAGTGGTGGTCAAACAAAAACATGGCGCCATCAGTCAATGAAATCCACAACAGTTGACTTAAGCTGGCCACGTAGGAAGGTGTAGACTTCTTGACTGACTGGTTAGGGTCCTCGAGACGCTAAAAACCAATGAAGGCTGGAGACAATCGGTGATATGGCTCAGAATCCTGGTTGTCAATGGCGCAGATGCATCAATTCATTGTGACGTATAATTTTCAATGAAACTATATTGTTCTCCGTTATTACTATTCTTTTTGTCTCATATCCCTGTCTACTGTCTGTATTATGCACTTCTACTTTCCTCTGTTGCTTTGTGCGCCACAAGGAGGGAGTGTGGCGACTTGAACTGGTGCACATCACTGCAAAGTTCTGTGTCGAAGACATACAGACAATATTGAAAGAAATCGAATGTTATCAAAGCATTCCAAAAAAAGAAAACATTTATACCAAAAATATCAGTGTATGCCTTTATTTCATTTAAACAACACCAACAACACCTTCATTCTGAACAATGTTTATATAATGTACAGAATTTTCAGCGCAGTTCATGACGCATAGTTTTTCGTCTTCGACTAGAATCTTCAAGTACAAGATTAATTGACAGTAGATTGTATGACACACACAAAACAATCCATCATGTGATATCTCTTCTTCTTCTCCTTCGAGAAATGCACGACATTTTCTGAATGCTAGTTATGAAATGTTCAGCAGTACATTCTGTGAACCAAGGACAGACACTACTTGGGAACGATCATCTCATGTATTGGTATAAGGTGCCATCCATCGAGGATAATGCTTTTTCAACTCATGTTTAGTAGAAACTTTCAAATCAGCAAGTTTTAAATGTTTTAAATACTCACCAGAGTAAACAATATTACTAGATATCATATTCTACTAGATTTAAACAAACTGAATAGACGGAATTATATGCAATTTATTGATGGAGGTCTTTTCAGTAGCCCAATATTTGAGCTGGCCGCCAACGTTAGGCATTCAAGTCAGATCACGCATTAACATTAACTGATTAGTCTACAGGTGTTTACTGCATAACCTGATGGTCCCAAGTCCATTTCCTGCTAGAGTCACAGGTGCGTGCTGATGAAGAGTTGGAAATTGGGACAAAACAGATGGTCCTGAGTACTCTCTGCTGATTTTCACTACTTCTCTAACTGATGTCAATTCGTAACCTAGTCTGGAATTCACCTGTTTTTTTGTATATTATCCAAAATATTGAAAATTTAACAATTTATTGTTTATCATCATACAGTCTTTCGAAATTTAATTTTTATAGTTCTCCTTGTTCCCGCCCATTTGTCGTAGGGGTAGTAGAATTTTCCAGACATCTGGAGTAGGTGTGGGCTTATTCCTAATACAGTTACATTCTCAGCGGATTTGATAAATAAAGCTTCAATTATCAGCCTGTCTAGCCCGTCACGCAATAGTAGTATTGGACGAGGTGTCAGTCTTAAAATCTAATGTAACACAGGAGAGACAGAAATGGATAATTGAAGCTCTATTTATTATCGAACCAACTGAGAAAACATGCAGTATGTCAGGAGTTAGCACCCATACATGATATCTGACTGACTGACTGGTTTCAACAGAGAACTTTGCACGGCTGTGCACCACTTCGAGTTGCCACTCTACCTCCTTGTAGCACTCAGACCAAGAGAAGAGAGTAAAGAGGTAAAAGCGAGATTAAAAAGAGCGATAATATAAACAGTAGTGTGAGTGAGGCAAAAAGAATGGTAATATAGAACAATACAGCCTTATTGGATATGACTGCCAAATCACAAAGAGTGCATCTGAGCCAGCCACTGAGGACGAGGATTTTGAGCCAGCCATATCACCCATTGTCTCTGGATTTCACTGCTTTTTACCATACTGAGGACTCAAACCAAGGTAGGCAGGCAGTCTACAACTCCCTAGTTGGCTAGCTGGCTTAAACTAACTGTTATATATCTCACTGATTGATGAAGCCATGTTTTGGTCTGATCATCACCAGCTCTTTTCTAACCTGATCCTATATCTGTCAGCTGGCATGGCGTGTTGTCGAGGAAGTCGATGGTTAGGGATGCATGAATAACACCTGTCCTAGCCATCTCAATCGATATAGCTGCTTCACAGCCTCATCGACAAACTTTCCCTCTTAACCTAACACTCGTCACCTAACCTGAATATTACTCACCCTATCCCACCTACCACCCAACATGGGAGATAGAGAACTAGAATTATTCGAAACGTGTCTTAAATCTATGAAGTTACAGTTGATAAAATTGGTTATGAAAAATAAATTGTGTTTGGAAACTTTGTTCAGTATTATTATTAAACTGTATTCTCTATGTGTGTGTGTGTGGTCTGTATTCAATAAATAAATCGATATAAGTGCTCGATAGCAGTGGAATCCAGCAGAATGTCCATTTCAGCATCATTGTTGACTACCCATTGGCTAGATGTATCTGGTCGACATGGATTCCTCTACTAGTCAGTCACCATTCACCGTCGACTAAATACCGTCGATGTGAATCCTCAAACACCGCTGAAGCTCTCGTACTAGGCACCGTGACAATTCTGTCGAATATAATCAATCAATGGTAAAAATAAAATTTTCAAGAGTTCGCTTGAAAATTCATCTGATGCTCGCCAGTGACTTGCTACAGGATGGAGTTTCCTGGAGTTCTAGTGAGAAGTCGTGACCAGTGAGGTCTATCCAGTTAAGTGTGAGGATGGAAGTCCCATCGACGATATTGGTTGGGATTGCGCTAAATCACAAATTGGTAGAAATTAGAATTCATGAGCTGTCCATTGAATCAGGTCCCGGTGGCTGAATGATATACGAGCTTGCATTGTAACCGGAAGGTCCTGGTTTCGAACCCTGGCAGTTGATGCATACTGCCGGCGATTCCCAAACTAGGATGAAACAGCTGTCCAGTACTCCATGCTGGCTGGTTTTCAATGGTTCTCTAACTGATATCAATCCGTTGTCAAAGTCGTAAAAAAATAAAATTAACTTAAATGAATCAATATGTAACTAAGTAGCTGTTAATGTTTCACTACTTAATTAACCGTTGGAATCCTGTAGTATCTATCTACTTAGATTTAATTGGACAAAGTGCTATTAAAAAAGGCTTATACAATAACTATTTGGCTGATTGCCAACTGTATGAATATATAATTAGTTGTTCTTGTGTAATATTCTTTTTCTTCTTTGTTCTTCCGTCTGTTGTTTTAAAAAAATTATTATTTTAAAGAAAGATGAAATAGTTAGAAGATGTATACATTCTAACTTCTTCACTTCACAATATTAATTAGCTGACAAAATATATTGATACACGGGCACATTTTATTTTCCATTCCTTTTTGAGTTCTGAGTGGAACATATCGCTTCAAGTTTTGAAGCCAGCTGAATAACGGTGGTGTCGATGCATTTTTTTCAACAGGGTAGGTATGGTTGCTAGCCCCACACTCAGTCTTCCCTCCTTTCTGGGCTTACTATCTAAAGGTGATAAACTGGGCTGGGCTTGGTGGCGTACGCCTGGAATCTAGCTACTTGGAGACCAGGGTGCGGAATTCCGCGGGACTGGGAGTTGTGCCATATAGGTGCTCATGTTGATCGGGCGTCCACGCTGAGCACAGCGCCGATATGGAAGATCTGTCGGAGGAGGAGTTGTCTAGGTCGACTAAGGAGGGGCGCACCGGCCCAGGGGGGAAACCCAGTAGGTGAGGTTTAGATTTAATAGGCGAAAAGTAAATGGATTAATGAATGCGACGTGTCAGGTTATCCGACAGCGGGAAACTCAGAGAAGCGTTCAAAGTGAATAGAGGAGTAAGAGAAGCTGACTGCATGTCTATTATCACCACGGATAATATTCTTAATTGTGGTGGACTGCATTATCCGTGTAAGGAGACAAGAATACGCTGGACAACCGATAAGAAGACTCTAGAAGATCTGGGTTTCGCACGTAGATTACTTATGTCAAATATCACACACACAATCTAGAAGAGTGACGGGCGAGAAATGGCAGAATAAGCAGCGGAGACAGCACTCCAGGTGAACATGGAGAAGACGGAGGTGATGAAGATAACCAAAAGCAACCGCAACAACAAGAATAATCAACACCCATCACCATCAACGTGAGAGATTTGACAGAGGTTACCTCCTTCACTTATCTAGGAAGCATCGTTTCAACTACAGGCAGACGGGACGAATGAAGATGTCAAAGCTAGGTGGAGTCGGAAAGGTGAGATACGCCTTCATCAACCTGAAACCAGTTTGGAAATCTTCTGTACTGACTCAGCAAGCATAAAGAACAAGATTCAGCTTTTAGCAGCAATGTTAGGTCAGTCAGTTCTTCTATACGGGTCAGAAACTTGCACTGCGCATGCGTCACGAAAACGATTTCCAACAGGCCACTGCAGACTTTCATCTACAGCTGGTTTCATACTGGAAATCAAATGGCCTGCCAGAAAGAATATGCAACAAGAAACTCTGGCTTGGAGCCAACCAACCAAAAGCCGACCGCTCAGCACATATGTGGGAGGAAATCGAGATAGATCAGACATACGCTGAGAGGGCTGTCGAATGACATTGCGTGCAATGCAGGCCATTGCTCGAGTGGGACTCCAATGGGAAGCGACCAGTTTGCCGTCGGTTCGAGAGTGATATGGAAGAGATCGTGTTGCATGCAGGAGATGAGATTATGTTCAATCGTTGACCCAGATGAATAGGACACCGGGAAATAGAACAAAGTGGAGTTGTGTTGTTGAAGCCCTATGTCCCACTCGGAACCCAAGGGAGTAATAATAATAATAATAAAACAGATTGGTCAGATAGAGTGATTAGTGATAATTACGTACAGCGGGGTTCAGCAAGGTAGAAATTAAGTGCATGAAAAGCTCGATCCTGTCACACTTGGTCGATGCTGGACATATCATGGACGTCAACACAGCTTTCAGGGTTATATACAGAATTCTGAAGTCTTACAGTTCGCTTACGTCTGCTACACATAGCTAAAACTGTCGCAATAAGATCGACTTCACCAGAACTTTGTATCCAAGAAGAACACGTCCAGACGCTGTTCGTACCGCGGCCAAACTTGGATTGATGATTCCTCTCACCAAGAGTGATTCCCCTTAATCCTCTTGGTTTTTTTCTTTCTTTGCTTATTATTACTATTATTCGTCATAATTTATGCCCTTCATGTAAACATTCTCTCAATACTATCGAATTTTCCCTTTATACTATCCGGACTTATTTTTAGTGATATTATTTCTTTTCTCAATATATGCTTCCACCTGTTTCATTTCACACATTCGTTATTTCATTATGAACCTCTCATTGCAGTCTTGCTATCTATCTCCTGTATAATACATACCACTTTGTACTAGCCACTCCACTCACTCACCTGACACCTTTTATAACCTTGAACTAACTTACTTGTCAATTTTTCGTACCCCACACTCTACAAATCTATTATGATTAATCACCAACATTGTCTCCCATTTCACCGAAAAATTTTGTAGTCGATTTCAGCCCAGAGCACTACGTTTGTCACACAAATACGACTATTTATTTTGACACCCCGTAACTAACAATCTGTTATTCTACGTAAAAAAATGTATCCACCGCATAACTGGCTATTATTGTGACGGCAACAAATATTATAAATGTTTTATAATTGTAAGAACCTGAAGAGGAGAATTGATTGGAAAGAATATTCTTCGTTCAGATTGACTTCTAATTCATGATATGTTTAGGGAATTCTAACATGACAATGAAATATTCTCTGTCTCGAATATTATTTTTATTATTATTGTTCCCTTGGGTTCCGAGTGGAACAGATAGCTTCAATATCACGCCTCTACTTCGTTCTATTTTCTCGTGTCCTCTATAGCTTGACCCAAGGTTGCCCATAATCTCTCATCTCCTCCTCCTCCTCGCTACACTACCTCATTCATTTCATCCTCTAAGTGACGCTCAACTTGTCATTATCCATTTGGGTTCCATGGTACGGTTTCCTCAGTGGTGTGTGCCCTATCCATGTCCATTTTCTCCCGTATATTTGTTGAACAATAGGTTCTTGGTCAGTTAGTTTGTTCCCATAGTTTCTTGTTGATAATTCCTTCTAGTCGACTGGCGATTTGACCTTCATTGTGAAGCCAGAGTAGGTGGCCACTGTTGATAAATGTGTGCAGGGCAGTCTGTTAGAAATGCTTTCTGTGTGACGTGTGAGCAGTGCAAGTTTCTAATCCATATAAAAGAACTGACTGACTGACTGAACATTGGTGCTGAAGATCCGAATCTTGCTGTCATCGTTTCCCTTTTTTGTTTCCTCTTCTTTTTTTTTGCATTTTTACAGTTACTATCCACCTGAAGTGTATATCCCTGATCCTGATTGTATTATACCCTATCCAGTGTTCAACGATAAAAAAAAGGATATGGCGACCACTGCTGCTGCTACTCCTACTACAACAGATGATTCTTTGACCTTTGATAGCATCATCATTAGTCAACAATCTTGGTTATCACATTTCACTAGAAATGATTCACAAAATACCTTAAGACAACAATGTGCCTGGCTATCAGCCTACAAGTTATCTAATCGATACAGCTGTGAAACCCGCGAATTTTGGATTAAATTAGCTAAGAATTTATTATATATGCATAGAACATTTCTTGGTAAATCGGGTTGTTCTCATGCAATACGCTTTCTAGTCTATACATGCTTACTTGCTTATGGTCCAGAGAATATGTTAAAGCATATAGAGTATTTTATAAAAACACTGTTAATCACGCTACCAAATAATTCAAAAAATTCACCATTGGATGGAAAAGCTGAATTCATTGGTTTCTATTGGATACGTGCTGTACTGAACGTGTTGATACTTCTCAGTGAATTATGGTCACGTGAATGGCGGTATTATTTTTGGCGTTGGATGATACCGCGGATATTATGCTGGTCAGAGATATGCGCATTAAAAGTATCCGTAAATGATTTAGCCCAATCAATTGATGAAAAATTACATCCAACGCTAACACATGTCCAATGGGTTGTATCAATGTATGCTGGTAAATTTGCTGGAGGCAGAGATGATGATGATGATGGGGATGATGCGAATGACGGAGGTGATCATGTGGTGGACTGTACTACAGGTTAGATGATTCGTTTTTTTTACTTCTGGATTTTTTGTATTCGCATATGTTGGTTTGCAGGGATTTGACTTGATTTGATTGGCTACAGGATTTCGTCGTGAGCTGTGATTGGTTGGTGAATTATTGGAAAACCAGGCACAAGAGGAGTACTGGACATCTGTTTCTATTGTCCTCATTTTGGACTCTTCGGCAGTATGCACCCACTCCACTGGGGTTCGAAACTGGGAGCTTCGGGTTACAAGGCGAGCTCGTAGACCATTGAGCTACTTGGAACCGATCCAATGGCCCAGGAATTATAACTCTGACTTCTGTCCCAATGGCTTAATGGTCTACAAGCTCGCCTTGTAACCAGAAGGTCCTTGTTTCGAACCCCGGTGGGTGCATGCTGCTGAAGAGTCCCAAACTAGGACTAGAGAGACAGTTGTCTAGTACGCACAGGTTTTCCAGTGGTTCTAGAGGACCAATGTTAGCTCATGATAAAATGATGCTATTGAACTGTAATCCATTGATATTATTATTATTATTATTGATTCGATGTTATTTAAAAAACATTAATGTTGTTAATGACACTAATTCATTCATTCACTATTATGGAGGGATGAAGTTGTTGAAAAGAATATTTTTTGTTCAATATCCATTCTTTTATAATATGAAATGCCAATGAAAATGTCTATGATTATAATCATTGTGTCAAATGGCATATATAGTTCATCGTTCATAGGATGTATTGATGTTGGAAGGGATGTTGTAAAATTATAGGATCACTAGGCTAACATAAAACGTTACATAACTTGATTGGAAATTTGATAAGACGGAATTTAACATTGCGAAAAAAAATTTGATTTACAATGAAATATTGAGAATATTAATAATGATACCAGTCATCATAATCTTAGTAATAAGGGAAAGGTACACAGAGAAGGGATCTGTTGATAAAAGTCTGCAGCTAGCTGTTAAAAATGGTTTCCGTGACGCGGGAGCTAAGTTTCTCACCCATATAGAAGAACTGAATAGGTGAACTGATAGATCTGCATTATACCTGATCGAAAAAGGCCAAAAGCGAAATAAAAATAATGGTGAAATTAGTAGTGATAACATAAATAAGAAAGAATATAAGTCATCTACTGTTATACTACATAAGGAGGGGACATCTGAGACCCTACGTAGGATTCTTAATAAAGCAGGAATTAGAGTGGCATTCAAACCTACAAACTCACTCAGGGACAAGCTCTGTAGGTTAAAGGACCCTGTACGTTGACCCAATTAGACAAAATAATATAATTCACAAAATACCCTGCAATGACTGTGAGGTCAACTATATAGGTCAAACTAGTAGATCGGGTCAGTAGTCAGGTTATCAGAACATAAGAATTTAGCTATGTTAAGAATGGTTGACCCCGAGAAGATAAGTAATTTAGAAAAGAGCTCAGCAATTGCACTGCACTACATGCATTAACACACAACCCTACAATAGCATGGTGGGAGAGGGTTAAAATTCTAAGAAGTAATCTATGTAGGTGGAGAGAGAGATTGATTACTGAATCCGGTCTTGTTCATTGAGTCTACACCCAACACAACACATGCAACACAAATGACTCAATGCAAATACCAGACATAAGTATGGAAGATATTATTACCACCAGTCAGTCAAATCAGAGGAGGATAATAAATAATCTCAAAATTCAATTTCAATTCAAGCACATCACAACATTCTAACAAGTTACTTATTTTGACTACAAAAACACTCGTCTTATTTCCCATCTAATTGTAATTGATCAATAACACTCATATTATTATTTCTGAATGTACTTTAGCTTATATTGATTTTTTTCAAATATCTGGTCAATTTCATTCATGTATATAAATAAAGGAAAAAAGTTGTGTGAGTAACTTGATATGATTATGAGAAATAGTTTGTGCTCGAAACGTCAACAGTTAATATAACTGTACAACACTGTGTGATTTATTAAAATAAAATCTTATATATAATGGAGTTATACTCTACCACAGTGACCAAGTTTTATACTTATATCAAAAATACCCATTAGAAATTTCAAAAGACTGATTACTGAACAAAGAGAATATTCTTTTCCATAACCTACTCTTCATCAGGTTCTACAGTTACATATCCATCCATAATAGTGAATGGAAGAATTAGGCTTATTAACAACCTTAATGTTGTTTAAATAACATCGAATCAATCAATAGTATGAATAGATTGTAGTTCAATAGGATTTGTAAGCGTGATAATATGCATCAACGTAACACTGCACTCTGAATATCAGACAGAGAAATTAGGAAAAATAAGAAGAAGAATACAGAATTCATGAATTGATAGGCTCCACAGAAGACCAGGGCAGTAGTAGTAATAGTGTAAGAACAGAAGACAAGGGCCAGGCAACAGAACGTTTATTACGGAAAATCAACACGTATTTATAGATTTTGATGTACATTATTGTAGGTTAATGTTAGTAGAAAATACAGTCTGTTGATTGGTTGTTTCTCACACAAAGTTAACCTTGCATCTCTTGTGGCTGTGTCAGATCATCCATATGCTAACTGTATCCGCCTGTCAATCTTGACCTTTGACCTCAATTACTGTCAACTAATTTGGCTAGCAACCATCTCTCACCACAATAGTAGTAGTGGTTGGGTGGACCTGTTTCTTCTGCAAACACACATGCACACATAGAGCACTGGTTGTTTTATGCGAATTGCAATAGCCTGAGGTGTTTGAAGTATTCAGTATCTGGATGCTTTTGGCAATTTATTTGGTACCCGATAGATGATAATTGTGAAGGATTCTTCAATTCTAGGTAGCTTTTTGGACGGTCACTTTTTACCAAGTGGTCTAATATCGAACTTGAATAAGTCATTTAGAAGACGAATTTCGCGAGATGGTATCTTCATTTCATAGTTTCTTTACAACCGCTTTGCAACTAACATAGTCAACAATAATAAAATACAATGCATGACAATTACTCAGTTATATAAAACAAAAGTACATACTAATGACCAATCATATTTAAATAGGTCAAGTATACTCACCATGGTAGGCGAAGGTTGAAGTCTATTGTGTTATTTTTGTACACACAGTAAGGACAGATCACATCTAGAAAAGACAGCTTCTATACCAAAGAAAGCTATCTTTATTAACCTACCATTCAAGGGTGACCAGATTATGCAGTTGACAGCTAACTCAAAGACTTCATTCGGTCAGCTATCAAACGCACATTCTACGCCGCCACATCTCTTTTTCTCACATGCCAAACATTTTCGATCCCTGTACCTACGATTAAAGGACGAAATTCTCTACACTCTACTTCAAACTGTATCTGCAGCTGCGGTGACACACACATATATGGGTAGAACCAATAGAGTGTTCCAATGTGGTCGTCGAAAAGAACATGTTCCAAAATGGTTAATAAAACAAATAGAAAATTCCAATGCAATTAATCTGAATATAAATCCATCATCATCCATCCATTGCAAAACACTTATTAATGTCAGGTCACAAAATCAATATTAATGACTGTTTCACAATTATTTCACATAACTCTAATTCAAGGCTGGTTATTGATGGTGATGGAAACACTTTTGGGGATTAATCACATACAGCCTAAACTGTGTGTACAAAAAACAACAGACTTCAACCTTCCCTACCATGGACTACTTGGCCTATTTAAATATGATTGGTCATTAGTATGTACTTTTGGTTTTATATAACTGAGTAATTTAATTGGTGGATGGTGACTAGCAGTGTTGAAATCAAGGACAACGCGCATTTCGTCCTACTTGAGATTCGTCAGCTAGCTGGATGTACCTGCATTCCCCAGTGAGTCAATGATGATGTTCCCACCACGGAGGTTCGAACCGAGTGCCCATAGTTTCAAACTCCACTAGACCACTTGGTCCACGAGAGCCACCTCTTGTGCAACGAGCCTCAGTAGGGACATCATCATCACTCACTGGGGAATGCAGGTACATCCAGCTAGCTGACGAGTCCCAAGTAGGACAAAATGCGTGTTATCCTGGATTCCAAAACTGCTAGTCACCATCCAACAATTAAATCCTAATTACATGCCCAGACATCGTCGAAGCATCTGCACAACAAGCCGACATGTCAACCTGAGAACGAGGATCACATCGGTCCAATCAATCAATCGACGGGAAAATCTAAAATTCAATTAAATAACTGATTAATTGTCATGCATTTTATTTTATTTTTAATATTGTGAACTACCCATGTTAGTTGTAAAGCGATTGTAGAGAAACTGCGAAATGATGATGCCATCATCTCGTGAAATTTGTCTTTCACTAAATGTCTTATTCAAATTTATCAAAGCGGGATTAATTGTTTTAATAAATATCGAACTGTTGATCGATAAAATAGTTTTCATGAAAAATTCCCATTTGAACATTAATAGACCGAAGAGCAGTAAGTAGTTCAGCGAAGAGTCTCTTTTCGGTGGTGAATTTATTTTCATAGCTGTACAATCGCAAATATATATATATGGTTGTTTTGTATGTGTGTGTACATTAAATTTGTCAAACGAAAATACAATTAGTAAGTTCAGATGAATTGGATGTTGATATAAGTGAGTAGTAACGAAACTGATGAGTTGTCACAAACGATTGTTAAAGAAGAGTTACGTAATAACATGAATAGTTTAATGAAAGAGTTGTACTCAGGGTGTACATGGAAACAAAATATACGGAATTACACAAGGGTTTTAAGTAGTTAGAAAAATAAGCATACAAAGAAAAGTTAAGTCAAATCAACACAGTTGTTACCATGATAGTAGAAGTGGTTGAATAATTTTCTTTTGTATGCACAGTTCTGGTTCCTCCTACAACTGAATGGTTAGGGCTTTTGTGATGCAAAGAAGATGGAATCGTACTGTCTTTGGAAGGTTGTTCTTCAATTTGTAGATTACTTTGAAGCTGGAGGCGTTTGTTAAGATGGAATGACCAGTGTTGACGAGCCATTACTTCCTTTCTGTAGCCACGCTGGATAGTGTTCTTTGACCCTTTTTGACAGGATGCGCGTTGAACGACCGATTTACCTGGCTCCACACACTGAAAAGAGACTCTTCGCTGAACTACTTGTCTTCTGTCTATTAATAATATAGTTTTCATTACACTTTTATTTAACCCCAATTGTTAAGGTGTTCCCAAGCAGAAATTAATTAAATTTTGTTTATCCCCTTTCAGAGAAACCGTCATCAGTGAATAATGATAGTAATAACAACAGGGTTAGTCAATCGTCAGCTGGTGGACCATTTCATCGTATCAGTTTTATGTATGCCTTTGTTATACATGAAGTTATTGATGAATTAGAACAAGATGTTCATTGTTTACACCCGTTATGGGATTGGGCTATACAAGGTTTACTTGAATGCTGTTGTCATAGCAACAACAACAAGAACAATAATAATAATAATCCATTGAGTCAAATGAAGTCATCAGCCTGTCAGCATATGAAAGATATATCTGATGATGATGATAGTATTATTATTATGCCATCATCTGTCGGTGGTGATGATGATGACATTGATACATGCCCATCTTGTCTACTTAATCAATACTTACCATTACAACATCGTCGTGTATTCTATGAAAGAATATGTTATGTGTTTACAATGTCAATGGGTTGGATTGGTATACCATTACATGAGAAGTTGATATCCTTGTTACAAGCAACAACACAACAGCAACAGAAATCCTCTTTCATCTCGTCGTTATCATCGTCGGTAAATGGATCCTCTTTGGTTCCATATTCATCAGAACAGAAGTCCACTGTCTGTTGGTGGTATTCTCAAGCGTGTAATAATGCCTTATGGATAAGAGATTTAGCCGCCCTAATAGCTACTTATCATACCTCGTGTATATTTAATATACATCTTCATGAAGAGAAGAATAATTTAAGCATAATTACATATAATCCTCGTCGTCATAATAATAATAATAATAATAATAATAATAATGATAATAATAAAACAGAGAGAAGTCAGCTATTATGCTTAACAAAACAACCGTCAACAAATGTTGTGCAAAATTATGAATTATTTGCTAAAGGTTTATTTAATTATTCAAAAGATAATTATGATAAATTTACTGGTGGAGAATTTTTAGTTAAAGTGGTAAGTGAAGCTACTTAGTGACTTACTGATTGATTGTCTGGTTTTATTTTGTTTACAAGAATGTGAAAACTATTTTCATCCATGTTACAGTCTCGAGTATCCCATTAAAATCTTTGAAGCTGTTATTGATAATATGTAACTTTTAGTCCTTCTAGAACACCGATCTCTGAATGTTTGGTTTGCGACTCGCTGCTACCGTCAACTGTAAGGTGATGCTACAGGACTACACTAGATTATTTCGACTCAATCCTAGGTAAAAGATAGATAGGAGCGAAGTGGTTGCCGAGTGTGTCGACTACTTCACTTGTTTAGGAAGTTACATCAGCCGGCCCAACGGACTATTCTCTGACTACACCTCAGTACGGATACAAAAAGCTCGTGTGGCCAACCTGCCAACCTGCATCATCTCTGTCTGACTTAGTAGACGTTATATCCGGGAGACTTGCTGTCGATCAAAGCATTTGTGTACTGTTCAAGAGTTTGCTCTTTCCTTCTTTATGGCTGTGAGTGAAAGATAGCCACTGAATATGGAAGACATCAAAAGCTTGCCTAGCTGTCTTTGATCATAGTTATCTGTGTTCTGTCTCCTACATTACCTGGTATAACAGGGTGAGTAACATTGACATGAGGCATCGAACAAGTGCTACGTAAGTGGGAGGGAAAATCAATCGAAGACGTTGTGAAGCAGCTGCATCGATTGAGATGGTAAAGACATGTGTTGCTCACGCATCCCTAGCCATCGATTCCCTTCCTCGATGGTCAATATTAACTGATATTTAATTAGGTTGGAAAAGGGTTAGCTAGTGATGGTGAAATCAAAACACAGAATGAGTCCATGCAATTTTTGAGCCCGCCACTTGGGGAGGTATAGACTGGCTGTCTGTGTGGTTGGGGTCGTTGGGATGGTACAAACCAATGAAGGCTGGAGACAATTGTTGATATAGTTAGCTTATAAGTTCACATAGCAACTCAAAAAAAGAAAAGCAAAAGCGGTTACAGTTTATAAGATTGAGATTTGTTCAGTGAGTTGAGATCTCTGAATTAGATGACTAATTAATGTATTCAAAGTCAAAATTGAATTACGAAGAGAGAGTGAGAGATTAATCACACTCTCTTTCTGTATGCATAAGTCTGGTTGGTTTGAATCGTTTGATTGCTTCGGAAAATCGTAGTAAATTTGTTGTTTTTTGTCTGTTTAATATTTTGAAGGACTTAGAAATCTCTACGAGATGACCGACCGAAAGCTGATACCTTGACGTGGTAGTCGGGCTTGCATATCGCAATGACCCAACGAGCTATACTGGCTGGAACTTAAGTTCCTGTAGGTCCTACCATGCCAGAAAGGTTGTTTGGATAGCGGTTAGACAAAAAGCAGCTACCCAATCCAATACCATGACTCAAACAAAAACACAAAATATCATACCGGATCGGTCGGGGCCCGGATTAACAACGACCGCGCTTCCTGCTGCCGTGTCACAGGGCAGAAGTGATAAATACGCTACTGAGACACACCAAGTAAAAAAGAACTAACAAAAACAGGCCGTGTGTGACCGGCCTCAAGCAGTTGTCCCCTGGGCTCTGCGGTCACGCAACCAACTTCCACGGTGTGGGCAGCCGGGAAGTAACAATCGCCCTCACACTCCAAAGTGCACGCAAAACCTCTCTAATCCTCACTCATCTTTGTATCCATCTTCATCTCTATTATCTTGCCTTCCTTCTACCAATGCAACTCCTCTACTTGATGGCCCTTCACTTCCTTTTCAATCTGTGTGCACTGATAACGATGGAAGCCAAAAAGCCACCATCGATAGTCTCCTAAAGCCACGCCACCAATTTCAGGTAGGGCATTTAATGTTAGGACACTTTTCCAAATAGGACAACAAGCATCACTAGCCAAGACTCTGGCATCCCGAGCCATTGATGTATGTTGTGTTTCAGAAACACGCATACAAGACCCAAGTGTGGTTATTCACCTAACCCCACCTGGCCAACAGGATGAATATGCAAAATTCACCTTGAGGGTGTCAGGAGATGCGACGGCTAGCTCTCGAGGATTAGCTGGTGTTGGGATAGCTTTAAGTACTAGGGCAGAGAAGACATTACTTGACTGGATCCCGGTAGATAGCCGAATGTGTGCTGTCCGTCTGAACGGATCAGTGAAAAGGAGAAAGGACTGCACTACCCGCCGATGCCTTTTCGTAATCTCCGCCTACGCCCCCACTGACTGCAGTTCGGATGAAACGAAGGATGAGTTCTACCAAAAGCTGTCTAGTTTGCTGCGAAAGGCTAAACGCTCAGATATTGTCGTTTTAGTTGGTGACTTTAATGCTCAAATAGGGAAATTGTGTCAATCTGAGAAGAATGTCGGTGGCACATACGGAATTCCGTGCCTGCGAACCGCCAACGGTGACCGTCTCCTACAGTTCTGTTCAGATAAGCATTTGTTTCTTGTAAGCACTAACTTCAAACACAAGGACAGACACTGTTTGACTTGGCGACCCCCATCATGAAATCAACGCTGGACATAAATAGACCACATAGCAATAAGCTATCGTAGGCGTGGGTCGGTAGGAGATTGCCGCTCCTTCTGGAACACGTGTGTAGATACCGATCACGCACTGGTCCGCGCTCGTGTGTGCTTACGACTGAACGGACGTAGGAAACAGCTGGTGGTAAAACCATCACGTCCCCAGCTCGATCAGCAAACTAAGTCCCTATTTGAAAAAGAACTAGCTAAACACATACCTGAGTTCGACAGCTGCGCTCACCCTGAAGAAGCCTGGAAGAATATTCAGTCAGCCATAGATACAGCTGTAAAAGCTGTGAATAAGGTAAATCCAAAGGTGAGTAAAAACCATTGGATTTTGACTGCCTAATCCGAACTGATAGATGCTAGAAGACTTATTCCGGCGAGCTCCGAATTCAATGAGGAGCGAAAGCTGCACAAAAGGAAACTTACGAAAAGTCTCCGCAAGGACCGTGAACAGTGGTGGTTGACAAAGGCGAGAGAGATGGAAAAAGCATCGGCGATAGGCAACACCAGACAACTACTCAGGCTTATCAGGGAAACAGGTGGTAAAAGGCAAATGATAAGCGAAACAATCTCTGAAAAAAATGGCACCATAATTAGCTCCCAGAATAGACGTCTGGAGCGCTGGAAAGAACACTACGAGGAGCAGTTTAATTGGCCCACATCCACACTTAGCCTGCCGGACATCCAACACCTCCCTGAATGGGATATAGACACAGGTCCTCCGTCCCTAACTGAGGTTACTAGAGCAGCCACTAATCTGAAGCAACGCAAAGCAGCGGGACCTGACGGATTGACTCCAGAGGTATTTAAGTACGTTGGAGACAGTTTACTGTCTGCATTAACTGAGGTTCTAGGCAGCGTCTGGGAATCAGAGGAAGTCCCATCGGGTTGGTATAAGTCACTGATCATCCCGATATACAAGAAGGGAGACAAGTCTTCTTGTGATAATCACAGAGGGATTAGCTTGACTAATATAGTATCTAAAATCCTAGTCTCAATAATACTGCATAGACTAAGTGGTGCTCGGGAGACACAAACACGAGAAAACCAGGCAGGTTTTAGGCCAGGTAGAGGGTGTATTGATCATATCTTCACCCTTCGACAGATTCTAGAACATAGGCATTCCTACCGGCGTCCGACAATCATTATATTTCTTGACCTAAAGGCGGCATTCGATTCTGTCGACCGGGAGGTTCTCTGGCGATGCTTGGCTGTAAAGGGAATGCCGAGAAAATACATCGCACTGATTAAGGCACTCTACTCGTACTCATGCAGCCAGGTGAGGGCTTATGGCGAGTTGTCATCTGAAGTGGTGACGACTAGTGGCGTCCGTCAAGGATGCCTATTATCCCCATTTCTATTCAACTTCATCATAGACGTACTAATGGACTTAACCCTAACTCACTTCAGCGACTCAGAGATTGACTTGCTACCAGGGAATAATCTCGTGGACTTAGAATATGCGGACGATATAGTCCTTCTAGGCGAGGACTCTGACAAAATGCAGAGTCTACTGAACATCTTGAGCAACAATCTTCGTATGTTTGGCATGCGATTTGCCCCTGTAAAATGTAAGATGATGCTGCAGGGTTGCACTTCACCGACTCCTAGATTAGAAATAGGAAGTGAAGTGGTAGAGCACGTTGACCGCTTCAATTACTTGGGAAGTACCATCAGCCCCAACGGGTTGATCTCAGACGAAATCTCAGCACGAATACAGAGGGCTAGGTTCGCATACGCCAGTTTACGCCGTCTCTGGCGTAGACGCGATATCCGACTATCGACCAAAGGGCGTGTGTACTGCTCAACAGTCCGCTCCGTCCTCCTTTATGGCTGTGAGACCTGGCCATTGAGAGCAGAAGACATGAAAAGATTAGCTGTCTTCGATCATAGGTGTCTGCGTTCTATCTCCCGTGTGAAGTGGTATAATAAGGTGAGCAATATTCAGGTTAGACTTAGTCGAGTGCCAGGTAAGGCGGGGAAATCAGTCGACGAGACTGTGAAATTACATGGACTGAGATGGTTAGGACGTGTATTACGTATGCCTAGTCATCGCCTTCCTCGATAGGCAATGTTAGCTGACATAGGGTCAGGTTGGAGAAGAGCTAGTGGAGGTCAAACGAAAACATGGCCCCATGTCAATGAAATCCACAACAGTTAGTTTAAGCCACTTAGGAAGGTGTAGATTTCCTGACTGGTTGGGGTCCTCGAGACGGTAAAAACCGATGGTTGGAAACAATTGGTGACATGGCTCAAAATCGTTCTCAGTGGCTGATGCAGATGCATCCACTCCTTGTGACTTATGATTTCCGATGAAACTGTTTGTTCTTCGTTATTACTACTCCATTGTCTCACACCTCTGTTTACTGTCTATATTATGCACTTCTTCTACTTTCTTCTTTTCCTTTGTGTGCAACATGTGGGGAGTGTGGCGACTTGAACTGGCGCACATATGTGCAAAGTTCTATGTCGAAAACAGACAGACAGGTATGAACAAAGTGTGTCTGGTAATTGCACTCTGAGAATATTTGCTTCCTTTCAGGCACAGGTTTCTTGGGATATGTTCAGAAAACCGGATAGAAGCCCTTCTTTTTTTCCGTCCTTCCAATGTACTTGCTCCCACAAGTGCACGTAAATTCATAAACGCAGTTGGTGGTGACATCAGCAGGATATTTATCTAGTTTTGAGTGGCTTCCCGATCCTCGCTGCTTTGATATCCTCATCAGTTCCGTCCGTCTGTAGTTAAAACGATGCTTCCCTGGTAGGTGGGTAGGTGAAGGAGGTTGCTTCTTTCAGATTTCTCCCATTTACGCTGACTGATTGTTGTCTGTTGTAGTTGCTGTTGGTGTAGGCCAGGAATCTTAATCACCACATCTCTTTTCTCTAAGTTCACCTGAAGGCCTATCTTTGATGCTTTCATGTTGTTTCTACAATGACTGTCATTTATTACTATTCCCTTGGGTTCTGATAAGAAACAGCTAAAAGTAGTAATCATCTTGTGATCAGATGACTGTAAAATTTCATCTCTTTCTTAAGTGGGTCCTGGACCAATCGACAACCAATCAGAATATTTATTTTCCGTAGACCTAGCCGAATCACCCACTAATCAGAACAGTCTATTTTCCACTGCCCTAAGTAAATTTCAATGTGATTAGAAATATATAAATATGATGTGTTTTTTCCCTGCGAAAGTCGTATCCCAACAATCACAGGCCAGTCTTTGTCTTTTTATGTTTGCATGGCTCAGTAAACCAGAAATTACTAAGGGAGGAATAACCGTATCTAGCGTATCAGTTGGCGACGGGTTCATAACAGGTTCTTAGCGGAAGATAAGACCTCAGCAGCATATCGCCATTTCATACTCTTCTCTGTAGTTTTTTTCTAGCTGTTTCGCGATTAGCCATGAGTTTTTATCACCACCTCCTCCTCACGTGGCCTCCTCCTTGTCACCCTAGGACCCGTGCTCAACTGGTTGTTTCCTATTCAGATTCCACTCGCCGAACTGGGACCTGATGCTTCCCTCTGCATATTTTTTCGGCAATAGCTTGTTGGTTGGTTTGCTGCCATCCATAGTTCCTTGTTACGTAGTTCTTCCAGTCGGCCTTCTAATCTTTAGTATCGAACGAAAGCATTGACTAATGAAACTTTGCACTAATCTGTTGAAATTGCTGTCGGTAACGCGCTCCTTGTATGCATCAGATTTTCACACTTATTTCATAGCAATAAAGGTCTAGTTGTCCTTAACATTTTTCATCCTTGACGTCTGCAGATGAGAAACGACACTACCAAGGTAAGAGGAAGAAGTGACTTTCTTCAAATTTCTACGGTTGATGGTGATTGTTGTTGTTGTTGGTTGTTGGTCGTCTCTATGTGTCACTTGAAGTCCTGTCTTTGCTTCTCCTTCTTCTTCTCCCCCTGGCAACTTGTTATTGTTTTTCCCCTGTAAATATTCACGTTTATGCGACATTAGGCATAAATCAATTCATAAAATTCTTCTCACTAATAAATTTTGAATAAAGCAAGAACGACAAATGTGTATCAGGATAATCTGAGATCATTTTAAAAAAGTTATTTTGTAGATTCTCAGCTGGCTAAATGCAACCTGAATAATACCAAAATTATAAATTAAATTAAAGATCTGGACATACTTTTTCTTAGAATGATAAGAAGTAATTGATTAGCACTAAGAGCAACATTGGTCAGGAATGATGTAATTTGTTTAAGAATTAAGAGTGAAAATGTTCGACTATTTATAGAAGAATTGCATGAATAAGTTTGGATACAAGAGGACAGAGTTCAACAGATGTTTCGTGGGTAGAAATAACGTCGGTGGCACAGCCATTAGGACTCTCGCCGACCATGCACATGGTCCGGGGTTCGACCCCCTGCTGACGCACACCTGATGATATCTATGGTCGGCCTGTAAAATTTAGGCTACCGATATCACATCCTGAAAATTCCATACTTGTACCAAAAATACTGTGTGGTTTCAAGCTATAATAAAAAAAGAAGAGTATAAAAAGTAATAGGTTACGTAACCACAGAAAAACACGTTTTTATAAAACCAGCACAATTGGCGGGAGGGGGGGGTTAGGATGAGTCATGTTTAGACGAAAAATTCAAGTTTTCTAAACAGGATAGAAGATGACATATTGAAATTTGTATGCTTCGTTATCACCAAGGCAGGCAGTGCAAGATTCACCAGTGTCTCCTCCTGTGTACACAGATTTGGTTTTAACCGTTTGATGCTGATTGCCTCAGCAAAACAAAGCAGGCTGGGTTCACGTCATAACCATGCAAAATTACACTATTTGCGTGCACGTTCCTTGCTCTTCTCGTCATATATATGTTTATATAAATCTCTGAATTCATTTTCTTTATTTTTCAGTTTATACCATTACTTGTTCGAGACACAGTGAATGTTCTTCGATTGAAAGGAGTAAAGTTATCCAAGTCAACTTTGAAGTTACCAGTAGCTGAACCGGAACAGATTAATTCTGCTATTTTAAAAGAGATTTATAATAAAATATCAGTAAGTTTAGCCAGTTTTATTACTCTCTCTGTAACTGTATATATGTCACATGCCAAGTGATACATAGTGGAAAGCTTAGCGAAGCATTTGAAGTGAAGACAGGAGGAGAGCATGTTGACCATTTACTTCATTTATTTGGGAAGTTGCATCAGCCCAGCCCTGGTGGGTCGATCGCTGACGAAATCTCGGAACGGATACAGAAGGCTTGTTTGGTATATGCCAACATAGTAGATGTGATATCCGGCTGGCTGGCTGTCGACCAAAGGACGTGTGTGCTGCTCAGCAGTCCGCCCCGTTCTTCTTTTTCGCTGTGAGTGAGACATGGCCATTTAGAGTGGAAGACACGAAAAGGCTGGTTAGCTGCCTTCGATCATAGGTATCTGTGTTCTATCTCCCGTGTCACGTGGTATAATAGTGTGAGCAATATTGAGGTTAGACTTCGGTCGAGTGTTAGGTGAGGAGGAGGTGAAATCAATAGACTAGGTTGTGAAGTTACATCGACTGAGGTAGTTAAGAAATGTGTTAGGTATGCCTAGCCATCGCCTTCCTCGACAACTGGCAATGTTAGCTGACTGGAAAAAGGTAGTGGTTGTCAAACGAAAACATGGTTCCATCAGTGAATGAAATCCACAACAGTTAGTTTAAGCCAGCAAACCACGTAGGGAGGTGTAGACTTCCTGGTTGGGGTCTTCGGGATGATGGTGAAAACCAATAAAGACTGGAGACAATTGGTGATATGAATCAAAGTGATCGTTCTCAATGGCTGGTGGAGACGCATCCACTCCTTATGACTTATAATATGCAGTAAAACTATATTGATCTTCCATATTACTATTCTTTTAACCTCATTTCTCTGTTTACTGTCTATATTTTGCGTTTCTTTTTTAGAACAACACATTTAAGCGAACAATATTGTGCTTTCAATTAGATCTCATCAGGCTTAACTCTAATATACATAAGTTTACAAATAAAAATTCAAATATAAACCAATCATGGTGTTTTGCCTATAGGATAATAAGATGGTGAATATAAATTGTGCAATTAGTCATAATAGTAGTAATGATAATAATAAAAATGGTCTTATCAATAATTAGGATGATAAAGTGAGGCTATCTGTGATAACATGAATAATGAAAAAACAGTATGATTAAACGAACAACTGTTCAGGTGGAAGTAGTCGATAAAGGCTAGTAAAAACAAATGAACTGATTAAGTAATGTTAGATTGTAAGGGGGGTAAATGAAACACGTTTATAATGAAGATGTGATAAGATTAAAGGATAATAAGGAAGGGGTTGAAAATATAAACAAGTCATTAGTTGGTTATGTCTTAATAGGCCAAGGGAGGGATAATGGCTGTACGAACTTTTTTTGAATGCATAGTTTAAGTTTAATAGTTCGAATGCCTATCTCCTCAGCTGTGTGCAGTAAACGAATACGAAGTCTATTGGAAAGATTCGTGGGATACGATGAATTACTTTGAAGGCTGTCGTTTTCTCCACTACATGACCACTATCAATTAAATGTGACAATTTACTTTCTTCTCTTGCTTTGTGTGCTACATGGAGTGGGGTGTGGTGACTCGAACTGCTGCACATCTGTGCAAAGTTCTACTTTGAAGTCAGTCAGTCAGTCAATGTTGTAAAGTCTAATAAAAAGTTATCAAGGATTAAATAGGTGAACATTTTAGTTATTGATTTTTTAAAATTTAAAATGATTTTTTCCTATTCTCCTTTTATTCCATATTTTCATAGAATACCGCTGAAATTATCACTGATGACAATGACATCCTTATGAATAATGACAAGAATGATAATAGTTATGAAAGTTATCGTCGAGCAGAGATTATTGTCTTATCAAATCGTCTGTTCTGTTTATATACATGTTTCATATCACTCTTGACACTTGGTTTCCCTGTATACAGAACTAGAATGATTCAAAATGCCTTAAGGCATGGGGATACTGTCGTTGACACCAGTGACTCGACAACGACGACAACGGTAAATAACAACATCCATAGTGATTCCAGTGAGGATAATAATAATGAAAGTCAATTAATCCAGTCAGCATGTTGTACATCAATATGCCAGTATTTAATGCCACTTATTGCAGATATCTGTTCAATAGGCAATGCCTACGATTATTTTTCAATTTCATTAAATATGAATATATTTCATGATAATTCATCTATATCAAAAACAAAACATCATAGTGTACAATTTGATGAGGAGCATATGGATGGTTTAAATTATAGTGTATCAGCTTATTTGATAAATTTATCCACTATGACATTATCTGGTCAAGGTCATACAAGTGTAAAACAAATTCTATCGACCATTGAACAATTTGTTCAATATTTCCTAGAACATCCATCATGGCGTTCGCGGGCTATTGGAATATTGCTATTTAGAAATCTTGTTGTCTTTAATTTATCAGCATTTTATAATTCTCAAAATGTATTAATCACAAATATGACAATTGATAAGTATGTGAATAAAAAATTAAGAAGCATTCTATGGAATTGTTTAAATGATGCCCTGCTGGAAGTTAGTCAGATAGCAATGTTTGTTATGGCTGTATTTATTGAAGTGAATTTAATTAAGGTAAGAAATTATTTTTTTTCTGTGATTGGTTTGTAAGGATTAGTTTTTTGCTTTTTTTTACGAGTTGATCACCACGAATTGATATCAGTTAGAGAGAACCATTGAAAACCAGCCAGCTGTTTCATCTTATTTTGGGAATCAGCGGCAGTACGCACCCACTGCCAAGGTTCGAACCCAAGACCTTTCGGTGTTACAAGACAAGCTTGTATACCATATAGCTACTGGGACCTGATTCAATGGCCAACCCATGAATTTTAACTGCTACCAATTCGAGATTTAGAGTGCGCCCACCAACCAATTTTGTCGGTGGGACATCCATCCTCATACACTTGACATTTGAATGGACCTCACTGGTCACGACTTCTCACTAGAACTCCAGGGAACTCCTTTCTGTAGCAAGTCACTAGCAAGCATCGGATTAATTTTCTATAGTTGGTTTGTAAGGATTGGTTTTGTTTTCACGAGTTGATCACCGATTGATATCAGTTGGAGAACCATTGAATACCTGCCAGCATGGAGTACTGGACAGTTCTTGAAAATTAATCTGATGGTCGCTAGTGACTGGCTACAGGAAGGAGTTTCCTGGAGTTCTAGTGAGAAGTCGTGACCAGTGAGGTCCATCCAAATGTCAAGTGTGAGGATGGATGTCCCACCGACGAAATTGGTTGGTGCCAGTCGCGCTAAATCACGAACTGTTAGAAGTTAAAATTCATGGGCTGACTGCCATTGAATCGGGTCCCAGTGGCTGAATGATATACGAGCTTGCCTTGTAACACCGGAAGGTCGTGGGTTCGAAACCTGGCAGTGGGTGCGTACTGGCGATGATTCCCGAACTAGTGGGATGAAACAGCTGTCCAGTACTCCCTGGTTTTCAATGGTTCTCTAACTGATATCAGTCCGTGGTGATCAACTCGTAAGAAGAAATTATTTAATCTTTTTTTTTAAAAAAGACAAAAATAACTGATTTCATACAATCGATATTATTATTTGTTTTGTAGTTCAGTGGTTCAAGAAGTAGAAATGCTAACCAACCCTTTCAAGTGGTCTTTCTTGTTTGATTCCTGACAGATGCACTCCTAAGCCTCATCTAGTTTACTGACTGATAGTACACCCAGTAAATAGGGAAGGTTAGACGTGAGGCTGTGCGTCCGTGGCACAGTGGTTATGACGCTCGCCGATCATGCACGTGGTCCGGGTTTCGATTGCCGGCCACCGACGAAAACCTGTTATCAATGGTCGGCCTGCAAAATTTCGGCTACCGATATCACATGCTGAAGATTCCATATTTGTAACAAAAAGACTGTGTGGAATCAAGCTGTAATCAAAAAAAATTATCATTAAGTTCATTTACAGAAACACTTTTAACACATTTGCGAATTTTACATGATGTCAGTTGACAGAAAGTTCCTCAGTTAGTGAGCAGTGCTCAGAAAATTGCGCTTCTATAGTTTTTACACAGGCAGTTCAAGTTTAAACAAAATCAGCGTATGCATACAATGGTAATGGAGTTACGTAATGAAGACGAGAGTTGCGTAAGATGATGGATGAGTAACTAATAAATTGGGTGACAATGTACTGAGTTCAACTCAAGTCATGGAAACAAGAGACAAGCAAAATTACACCAATATGAAATGAAAGAGAGAATAAAGACATCCATTAGTTGCTGATAACTACTTCTTTATGAACACATAAATCAGGTTTCAGGCGTTTCATGGAGATTGCTTCGTCAATCTTGGGGAGAATTGGGCTATTTAAAGGATTTTGTGTTGTGCACCTTATGGTCCGTATCAAGAAAATGTCTGACAATGACACCATTGAAAGCGCTTGACCCCTTGAGACCTAGACTTTTCGATACATATTCAGAAAATGGTAGGTGTGCTCTTCTCTTTGTAGTCATAATATAAATGTTCACACATTTGGAGTTGTTAACATGAGAAGGGTATCTGTCGACTTTCGATTGCACCAAAGAGCATGTTGTTCGATGGACGGGAACCAACTTAGCTGCAGGATAGGCTCTACCTAGTGACGTACTCAGTCTTCTGTTGACCATTGCTGCAATATTTTGATCTTTAAAATCTAGTTGAATGAAGACAGGCTTTTTTGAACTGTGATTTGTTTGATGTTTGAGCCTTCACATCTTCCATATTTGTCAATGAATCTTTGAGGATAACCGTTGTTTTTCAACACCTTTTCGAGAATCGTAAATTCTTCCTCTAATTTCTCTGTTGAGCATAATCTCCTCACTCTATAGCATATGGTCTAGACTAGTTCACGTTTAGAGCTATTTGAAAAAAAAACTATAAAAATGTAAACATTGTCCATTCCATGTAGGCTTTCGGTAAATTGACCTCTGGAGACTATCATCTTCCAGGAGTTGCATGGCGATGTCAAGGAAATGGATCTTGCCATCATTTTCATGTTGCATAATAAATTCAATATATGTATGTGCTTCGTTGAATAATCTGAGTAGGTAGGAAGCATGACTTTCATTGTTGCACACTACGAATGTGTCATTGATATTTCGACAATAAGTTGTTTCGTCGATAGCCTGCTTCAGCTTTGTTTTCTCAAGGTTGGACAAGAAGATATTTACTAAAACAGGACTAAGTGAACTATCCATGACTGGTAACTGGATGTCTCTACTCTCTCTCTCTCTTTCGACCGGTTGCGTAATCTTTAGCTTTAACCTCACCGCCTCCCTTCGATACCGTATAACTTAGCTTGTCTCTTGTTTCTGTGATGTGAGTTTGAACTCAGTACATTGTTACCCATTTTATTAGTTACCTATCCGTAATCTTACTCACTTCTCGTCTTCATTACATAACTCCTTTACCACTGTATGCATACATTTACTTTGTTAGAACTTGAACTCCTTATGTAAAATCTACACAGGTGTCATTTTCTGAGCACTATTCATTAAGCACGGAACTTCCTGTCAATTGACATCATGTAAAATTTGCAAGTATTTTGAAATTGTTTCTCTACATAATCTTGATAATAATTTTATTTAAGCTGTGAGCAGTTGATCTGATAAGAATCCAACGAACGAAATAAACAATGATTGTACCATCTTATTATTCTGCACAAATCACATTGTTGTGTTCTTGTTTTATTTAAATTCATCAAGGGGAATAAATGGATGGAGTTTCTCATTCTTTTCTAAAAAGTAATATCAAGTATTGTTGATGAAATTACTGTAATAAATTGCCTCCAATTTCTTAGCTTCAGAAACCGTTCGTGTTTGTTTGTTTTATTTACATCTTTTTGATTGAACACTAGTCAGTAACTAGTGTAATGTGTCTAGTCCTATCTTCGGTGCAGACTGAATTCTATCAGTCATGTTTGCAATGTGGCCACCATGCTAGGTGGCTCGCTATCACAGTGCAATTTCAGTTGTTGGTAGTAGATGGTTGGAGGCAATCGGCCACAGGAAGCCTTGGACCTAGGTTTCGTGCTAGTTGGCACTCAACAGTCGGCAAGGCGTATCTGCAACCTTGAAGGAACTCATGTCCCTTCTGAGATTCGAACTGGCGTCACCCAATGCTGCAGTCAGAGACGTTACCACTGAGCTATTCAGGCTCGCGACTGACCTATTTACATCTTTTACTAGAAATGGAGATGCATCTGTGATATATATATTGTGTTTTAATATCTATTGTTTTCTTTTCCTTCGTGTTTATTCTCCTTGGTCACGTTGCTGTTGTTGTTGTTGCTGTGATGGTGGTGGTGGTGGTTTTTGTTGTATGTTGTTTACTTGTGGTTCTTGTTGTTAGTGGTGTGTGTAATCAAGTATAGGGTATAGAACAAAACAAAATAAGAGAAGTACACTGTCATAAGTCATCAATGTAATGTAGCTATTCTACAAGAGGTTGCTTATTTCGAAACCATCAGATGATTAAGTTACACTCACACACACCGATGATGGATAGAAGACATAAGGGGTGTGGGTATACAGTGTAGAAAACGAAAAGAGTTTGCTTCTCTGCTTTTCTTATGATAAGAAATTCTTCATGCATGAAAATAAAATATTTTACTTCTTCTTTTCTTTTTCCCTGCTGTTAAAATATTTTTGAGAATATATGTTTATGTGAATGTTTTTCATATTTCTTTGTTTTGAGTTGCACACTTAAGTGAAGCACTTTAAGTTGCCACACTCGACACCCCATGTGGTACACATAGCAGGAGAGGAGAGTAAAAACAGATTCAACAAAAGAGAGATGATATGAACAGAAGTGTGAGTAGTGAGGCAAAAAGAATAGTAGTTATATAGAAGAACAATAGAGTCTGATTGGAGATGATAAATCACAGAGAGTGAATGCATCTGCGCCAGCTATTGACAATGAGGATTTTGAGCCAGCCATATCACCACTAATTGTCTCCAGCCTTCATTGGTTCTTACCATCATCCCGAGGACCCCAACCAGTCAGTCAATCCAAGTATTGTGGATTTGATAGACTAATGAAGTCATGTTTGTGTTTTCCGACCTGATCCTACGTCAGCTAAAATTCCTCTTCGAAGAAGGTGATGGTTAGGAATGCATGTGTGACAAATGCCCTAACCGTCTCAATTGATGTGGCAGCTTCACAACCTCGTTGATTGATTTCCCCTCCCACCTACATAGTAATCGATCGAAGCATAACCTCTACATCACTCATCCTAATACACCTGTCAAATAACACGTGAGATAGAACGCAGACAGCTAGCCTTTTCTTGTCTTCTAGTTTCAGTGGCCACGTCTCACAGCTAGCATAAAGGAGGATGGAGCAAACTCTTGCGTAGTACACACATCCAATACAGTCCTACAGGAGGTCAGTCGCGAGCCTGAATAACTCAGTGGTAACGTCTCTGACTGCAGCACTGGGTGACGCGGGTTCAAATCTCAGAAGGGATGTCAGTTCCTTCAAGGTTGCGGATACACCTTACTGATGAGTGCCAACGAGCACGAAACCTAGGTCCAAGGCTTCCTGTGGCCGATTGCCTCCAACCATCTAATACACACA